TATTATTACTTTCATTACTATTGTTATTATTGTTATCATTATTTATTATTATCACTTTTTGTTACTGTTGTTTACTTCTTACTTTAATATTCTTTATTTTTGTTTTGGTGATGCTTATCACATGTTAGTGAAACGAGTTAAATCAAACAAAATTGAATCATGTTCAAGTATCATCATTGTCATCCCACAAGTTTAAAAGCTCATTATGTTTGGGTGGCACAACCCATAGCGTCGAGTCATCCAGCCATCCTGCCCACAGCTCCACCAGTTGCCCACCTTTACCACCAGTTTCCCTTTTTATCGGTTGGCCATGGTCGGTCTTTAAGACTTGAGCAATTACCACACCAAACAACCACCCATTTTTTTTACACACTCGCTGTTATGGTTCGTCTTTAAGACTTGAGCCTATATAAAATTCCCGCACCAAACCACCACCCATTTTCCCGAGAGCGTCTGAGCGCAGGGTTCTTCCAATAGTGGGGGTCTGTAAAGCATCTTCTCATCTTCACATCTTCTCATCTTCACATCTTCTCCTCCTCACATCTTCTCATCTTCACACCTTCTCATCTTCACATCTTCTCATCTTCACATCTTCTCATCTTCACATCTTCTCATCTTTACATCTTCTCATCTTCACATCTTCTCATCTTCACATCTTATCCTCTTCACATCTTCTCATCTTCACATCTTCTCATCTTCACATCTTCTCATCTTCGCATCTTCTCATCTTCACATCTTCTCCTCCTCACATCTTCTCATCTTCACATCTTCTCATCCTCACATCTTCTCCTCTTCACATCTTCTCCTCTTCACATCTTCTCATCTTCACATCTTCTCATCTTCACATCTTCTCATCTTCACATCTTCTCCTCCTCACAGCTTCTCATCTTCACATCTTCTCATCCTCACATCTTCTCCTCTTCACATCTTCTCATCTTCACATCTTCTCATCTTCTCATCTGCTCATCTTCACATTTTCTCATCTTCACATCTTCTCATCTTCACATCTTCTCATCTTCACATCTTCTCATCTTCACATCTTCTCATCTCACATCTTCTCCTCTTGCCCTCTTGCCCTCTTGCCCTCTCCTTCTTTTCTATTTCTCTCTTGAAGGCGGGAGCAGGGGCAGTGCCAACGAGACGGCACGAAACGCATCCCTTTCGCACGAAATGAGCTTCGATCGCTAAAAACTGAGGTAAAATTGCGATTTCGTGTTTCCGGTGAACGCTTTCGCACGAAATGAGGTTCGATCGCTAAAAACTGCGGTAAAATTGCGATGTCAAGGTGTCCGGCGCAACCTTTTCGCACGAAATGAGGTTCGATCGCTCAAAACTGCGGTAAAATTACAATTTTGAAGTGTCCGGCGCAACCCTTTCGCACGAAATGAGGTTCGATCGGCAAAAACTGCGGTAAAATTGCGATTTCAAGTCGTCCCGCGAACCCTTTCGCACGAAATGAGGTTCGATCGCTAAAAACTGCGGTAAAATTGCGATTTCAAGGTGTCCCGCGCAACTCTTTCGCACGAAATGAGGTTCGATCGCTAAAAACTGCGGTAAAATTGCAATTTTGAAGTGTCCGGCGCAACCCTTTCGCACGAAACGAGGTTCGATCGCTCAAAACTGAGGTAAAATTGCGATTTTTTCTGTGTGTAAATGTGTCTGCCTCTGTGGTGTAAAAGCTTCTGTGTGTAAAAGCCTCTGTGGTGTAAAAGCGTCTGTGTGTAAAAGTGTTTGTATGTAAAAGCGTCTGTGTGTAAAAGCATCTGTGTGTAAAAGCGTCTGCGTGTAAAAGCGTCTGTGTGTAAAAGCGTCTGTGTGTAAAAGCGTCTGTGTGTAAAAGCATCTGTGTGTAAAGGCGTCTGTTTGTAATTAAAAGCGTCTGTGTGTAAAAGCGTCTGTGTGTAAAAGTGTCTGTGTGTAAAAGTGTTTGTGTGTAAATGTGTATGTGTGTAAAGTGTTTGTGTGCAAAAGCGTCTGTGTCTAAAAGCGTCTGTGTGTAAAAGCGTTTGTGTGTAAAAGTCCCTGCGTGTAAAAGCTTCTGTGTGCAAAAGCGTCTGTGTGTAAAAGCGTTTGCGTGTAAAAATCTCTGTCTGAAAAAGCGTTTGTGTGGAAAAGGGTTTGTATGTAAAAGCGTCTGTGTGTAAAAGCTTCTGTGTGTAAAAGTGTTTGTGTGTAAAAGCGTCAGTGTGTAAAAGTGTTTGTGTGTAAAAGTGTCTGTGTGTAAAAGCGTTTGTGTGTAAAAAGTGTTTGTGTGTAAAAGTGTTTGTGTGTAAAAGCGTCTGTGTGTAGAAGTGTCTGTGTGTAAAAGCTTCCGTGTGTAAAAGTGTTTGTGTGTAAACGTGTTTGTGTGTAAAAGCGTCTGTGTCTAAAAGGCATCTGTGTGTAAAAGTGTTTGTGTGTAAAAGTGTCTGTGTGTAAAAGTGTCTGTGTGTAAAAGTGTTTGTCTGTAAAAGTGTTTGTGTAAAAGCGTCTGTGTGTAAAAGCGTCTGTGTGTAAAAGCATCTGTGTGTAAAAGCGTCTGTGTGTAAAAGCCTCTGTGTGTAAAAGCATCTGTGTGTAAAAGCCTCTTTGGTGTAAAAGCGTCTGCGTGTAAAAGCGTCTGTGTGTAAAAGTGTTTGTATGTAAAAGCGTCTGTGTGTAAAAGCGTCTGTGGGTAAAAGTCTCTGTGCGTAAAAGTGTTTGTGTGTAAAAGCGTCTGTGTGTAAAAGCGTCTGTGTAAAAGTGTTTGTGTGTAAAAGCATCTGTGTGTAAAAAGTGTTTGTGTGTAAAAGTGTTTGTGTGTAAAAGCGTCTGTGTGTAGAAGTGTCTGTGTGTAAAAGCGTCTGTGTGTAAAAGGGTCTGTGTGTAAAAGCTTCTGTGTGTAAAAGCGTTTGTGTGTAAAAGTGTCTGTCTGTAAAAGCGTTTGTGTGTGAAAGTTTGTATGTAAAAGCGTCTGTGTGTAAAAGCTTCTGTGTGTAAAAGTCTCTGTGTGTAAAAGTGTTTGTATGTAAAAGCGTCTGTGTGTACAAGCTTCTGTGGGTAAAAGTCTCTGTGTGTAAAGGTGTTTGTGTGTAAAAGCGTCTGTGTGTAAAAGCGTCTGTGTAAAAGTGTCTGTGTGTAAAAGCATCTGTGTGTAAAAAGTGTTTGTGTGTAAAAGTGTTTGTGTGTAAAAGCGTCTGTGTGTAAAAGCGTCTGTGTGTAAAAGTGTTTGTGTGTAAAAGCGTCTGCGTGTAAAAAAAGCATTTCTGTGTGTTAAAAAGTTGTTTGGATGTGCTTAAAGTGTTGTGGTGTAAAAAAGCGTTCTGTGTGTGAAGTGTCTGTTGTTGTAAAAGCGTCTGTGTGTTAACAAGGGTTTTGTGTGTAAAAGGTGTTTGTGGGTAAAAGCGTCTGTGTGTAACAAGCCGTCTGCGTGTTTAAAAAGGGTCGGTGTGTAAAAGTGTTTGTGTTGTAACAAGCGTCTCGTGCTTAAAGCGTCGTGTTGTAAAAGGCTTTCTGTGTTTTGTAAAAAAGCATGTGTGTAAAAGCCTCTGTGGTGTAAAAGCGTCTGCGTGTAAAAGCGTCTGTGTGTAAAAGCGTCTGTGTGTAAAAGCATCTGTGTGTAAAAGCGTCTGTGTGTAAAAGCGTCTGTGTGTAAAAGTGTTTGTGTGTAAAAGTGTTTGTGTGCAAAAGTGTTTGTGCATAAAAGCGTCTGTGTGTCAAAGCGTCTGTGTGTAAAAGCGTCTGTGTGTAAAAGTCTCTGTGTGTAAAAGCGTCTGTGTGTAAAAGCGTCTGTGTGTAAAAGCTCTGTGTGTAAAAGCGTCTGTGTGTAAAAGCCTCTGTGTGTATAATAAAAAAGCGTCTGTCTGTAAAAAGTTCTGTGTGTAAAAGCGTCTGTGTGTAAAAGCGTCTGTGTGTAAAAGTCTCTGTGTGTAAAAGCGTCTGTGTGTAAAAGCGTCTGTGTGTAAAAGCTCTGTGTGTAAAAGCGTCTGTGTGTAAAAGCCTCTGTGTGTATAATAAAAGCGTCTGTCTGTAAAAAGTTCTTTGTATAAAGGCGTCTGTCTGTAACTTTACGAAAGATACGATGCAAACTATTGTCTTGTACTTGTAATATATTGTCTTGATACTACTCTTCTCGTCTGACCATAATACATCTTTAATATATTGTCTTGTAATATAGTGTCTCCATACTAACAACAGAAGACTCTGCTCCTCTACGCTCTCGGGCCATCCGTCGTCTAGTTTTCTTTTGACACTCTCACTGTTGATATTTAAACTTGAGCCTGAAAACTTGAGCCATCTTAGTCATAAAATCTAGATACCCTTGTCCTTTGCAAGCCTTAGGTCAGCCAGCAACCAGAGCCAAGCAAATGACATACTTGAGCCAAGTAGTACGTAGACAGAAGTGCTGTGCCTGCCACGCAAAACATCGCGCAGAGAAGAGAAACAAGTTCAAACCAAAAAAACATATGGACATATGAATTAACAACGCCAAGTTTAGCCGTGAGGCAATCTGACTTTTTTCCGCAAAAGAAGTCCATCCTGATATTTCAGGTTCCATTCACAAGGGAGTCATGTTCGATATAAGGGACGCTTCGGTGGCCGGCTGTTGCACCTTAGCGGAAGGCACTGATTTCCCACTGCTATTAGAACAGCCCGTGCTCCATAGCAGGGGAAAACTCTTGAGTTGCTTTCGACACTGGATGGGCATCGTGGCTGGATGTTGCAGGCAAAAAAGATGCAAGACAGTGAACGCAGTCCGAGGTAGATGATTATTCTCTGAATGCAGGATTCGTCTACCAATGCAGAAGGTTTTCATTTAGTGGGATTGTGAATATTGCGTAGCACTTCGCAAGTGGCAATTTAGATACGCTGTCAGCTTTGGAGAAGCATCGGCTTCCGAGAGTCAGTTGCAGTGTAGCAGTGTAGCCCAGTCGAGGGCTGAGCACGTTGAGACTGCAGTGCCCGGCTCAACAGGTAGGCCCTTTTGGATCCTTTCGAATTGTCAGATTCTTGGAGTATTCTGGGAGACTCGGCATCAAGTCATGGTGAGGGTTGCGGTTCTCGCGGTTCTTATGATGCAGGCGCTTGCGGATCAGGCCTGTCAAGAGGAGACTTGTCAGGAGGAGAGCTCGACTCTGATGCAGCTCAATCACCGAGACCTGGATCAAACATAATTTCAAACCAGATTTAGGAGATCTTAGGAGATGATTGAAGATCTTAGGATATGATAGAAGATCTTATAAGATCTTAGGAGATCTTAGCGATCTTAGGAGATCTTCAAATGTGCTCTTTGTAGTTCCCGAGAGCGCCTGCGAAGGGTTCTTCGTAAAAAAGCAGCCGTTATACTACATCTTCACACCTTCAGATCTGCTGATCTACATCTTCACACCTTCACATCTGCTGATCTACATCTTCACTCCTTCACACCTGCAGATCTAGATCTTCACACCTTCACACCTGCAGATCTACATCTTCACACCCTCACATCTGCAGATCTAGATCTTCACACCTTCACACCTGCAGATCTAGATCTTCACACCTTCACATCTGCAGATCTAGATCTTCATACTTTCACACCTGTGAAGATCTAGATCTGCAGATCTACATCTTCACACCCTCACACCTGCAGATCTAGATCTTTACACCCTCACACCTGCAGATCTAGATCTTCATACCCTCACACCTGCAGATCTAGATCTTCACACCTTCACACCTGCAGATCTAGATCTGCAGATCTACATCTTCACACCCTCACACCTGCAGATCTAGATCTTCACACCCTCACACCTGCAGATCTAGATCTTCACACCTTCACATCTGCAGATCTAGATCTTCATACTTTCACACCTGTGAAGATCTAGATCTGCAGATCTACATCTTCACACCCTCACACCTGCAGATCTAGATCTTCACACCCTCACACCTGCAGATCTAGATCTTCACACCCTCACACCTGCAGATCTAGATCTTCACACCCTCACACCTGCAGATCTAGATCTTCACATCTTCACATCTGCAGATCTCCTCTCGCTCTTCTTCTATTCTCTCTTAAGGCGGGGGCGGTGCCGCCGGAGCGCCACGAAACGCAACCCTTTCGCACGAAATGGACGTTGGACGTCCAAAACCTAGGTAAAATTGCGATTTTGAAGCGTCCCCGGCAACCCTTTCGCACGAAATGGACGTTGGACGTCAAAAACTGAGGAAAAATTGAAACTTTTATTGGTCGCGCGCAACCCTTTCGCACGAAATGGACGTTGGACGTCAAAAACTGAGGAAAAATTGCGACTTTGAAGCGTCCCGCGCAACCCTTTCGCACGAAATGGACGTTGGACGTCAAAAACTGAGGAAAAATTGCAACTTTTATTGGTCGCGCGCAACCCTTTCGCACGAAATGGACGTTGGACGTCAAAAACTGAGGAAAAATTGCAACTTTCATTGGTCGCGCGCAACCCTTTCGCACGAAATGGACGTTGGACGTCAAAAACTGAAATTGCGACTTTTGAGGTGTCAATCGCAACCCTTACACACGAAATGGACGTTGGACGTCAAAAACTGAGGAAAAATTGCGACTTTGAGTTGTCAATCGCAACCCTTTCGCACGAAATGGACGTTGGACGTCAAAAACTGAGGAAAAATTGCGATTTTACTTGTCAGTGGAAAATTGTTTGTGGCCAACTCTGGAAACAGTCCATGCTGGCAGTGACCAGGGGCGAATCCATGCACGTGCTCTTCCATTGCTTTGGAGGCATCAATCGAAGCGCTGGGGTTTTATGTGCTTGGCTCGTCGTGGGTTACAACTACTCTGCAGAGGATGCCGTCCAGTTGCTGCTTGAGAAAAGACCTGCCTTGCGCCCTTGGCACAATCGCCCCTATGTCTTGGAGGCCTTGTGGCAGCTGGAAAGTTTGCGGGCCAAGTGGCACATGGAACTGAGTGCGGCGGGCAGAAATTAATTTGCACCACTGTTCGCCTGGAGAGACTGTTCGTGGCGAACGTGCTAAATCAGTAGCCAAGTGTTGTTAGTCTGTAAAGATTGTTCGATCCTGTAGAGACATCGGAGAAATGCAGTGAAACAGGTGTCATCCATGCCATCATGATATCGAACTTGTTTTTGTGGAATCATTCACTGCGCTCACAAATTAATGTGCA